TTCGAGAGTGGGACACGCGCGTCAGAGTGAAACTGAAGCGATGCAGTCCAACCCGTGTACAGTCCGAACCAAATATTATTGTATATAGTGTCGTCATATTTACATCGCCACCACGATTCAAGGTTGAAGAAAAACAATAGGTAAGTCCTTTGGAATTTCATAACGTATATAATAATGATTATATTTTGCACTTCATGACAAAATACTCACAGTTGATTTTCATTTGTAAAACTTGCCCTTTTGTATATATGTAGAAAATTTTATTGTCTTTCAGGTTCTTTTTAGTTCATATTCCGATGTTGCATAGAACGGAAAATATGCATTTTTTTCTGAAAGTCTGCAATGTTAAAGACTTAGGGCCATTTAAATTCCGGCCGTAGGGAGCTGCAGGCAATTTAAAAGTCCGTACGTTAAAGGTTAAATTACTGAATTACCCTTCTATTTATACAATAGTATTTGCTATGCAAATCTTTACATCTTGTGCTGATGTTGCCTGAATTCTTGCTCATCATCTATGACTGTTGCATGCACAGTCTGCACTGAAATAATTCTCTTATGTAATATGGAAGCCTTTAGATTATGAAAAAATTTTGCAACATTCCTTCTATCAGCTGAGCTACTAGGAATTTCCACCTCCTGGGATATACACCACGTGGTCTGTGGAAAGTCAACTAACATTTCAACGAGTTAGAATATGCAGACCCAGACACGTGGTGGTTGTGAATTTCTCTGTCATGTGGTTGGTGTGTAGCAAACCACTGTACTGTATTACTATATTATGCTATGATGCTGCTGGCCAATGATGCCAAATATGGTGGCGTACATACTCCACAGGTATCATTTTTTAGCGTATTCCATTTTCAATTTCCATAAATAAGAAATTTCCCATGTATATTAAAAAATCTTCCTCCTTTGTTTACACTTAAAATATCCATTACATCTTCAATTTTCCCACATGAATGACTGGTTTCCAGGTTTCTGGTATGTGTTGCAAATAATTATGAACTGCACCTATACGCTCCTCCTCTTGCTAATTTTCTGCTTGACTAACTCTTCAACCCTGAAGATGGAGGCAGTATGATCATCCTCCATACCTTCAGCAAACTTCTACCAAACTAAATGGCGTTACATCTTAGACAACTCTGCGTAGCCAGTGCTGCAAGAACTTCAAATGCAACATAAATATAATTCAATAAGTTAAGACAAACTTTACTGTATTTTATACTCATGAACACTTTTATGTATTATATGTAGATGGGCCTTCCTTAATGCAATTACAATTAAATAAGCTAGTATGTATGATGCACATTTTTTCATACATAAGGTATGGTGATGGCATTTTCCATGAGCTGAAACATGCAGTCTCTATTTCTGATGCATTAAAAGCTGATATTTGATGGATACACAGAGAAGCATTCTACAATTCAAATTACTATGATGCTAAGGTGTATGGTAGCTATGACTATGCCATTAATCAAGAGCTATTATATATTTCTCAACTCAAGAGTCACCCATACTTTCACTGTAGTGATACGGCTTGACCGATGAGCATAAAAATTCTACATAAGAGTAATTTGAACTGGCAAGAACATCATACTGAGTTTCATGCTAGCAGGCTCTTGATTCTAAACTCACTGTGGAAATGATCCATACATGTGCACATGCACATATAAGCACATATAACTGCATTGTCCTAAGTGCGGTGTAGGCATTTCTACTTTACATTCAAAACATAAGACAAAAACAATTATCTTCTGAAGAGATGAATCATTCTTAGTTTCTGTTATCACAACCACTGTAAATGAAATCCAAGTGAGACCTGTAGTTCCAGCCTGTTCAGAGGATCCATGAACCAAGGTTGATTGCTGCTCTGGACTTGGTGATGACCCTGGATCACCAACCTCCTCTTCTTCTTCTTCCCCTCCTGAACCTTCATCCATTTCCATTTCTTCATCTATCTCCAGTTCACCGGGAGAGCCTTCTTTCAAGCATGTACCTGTATCCTGCCCATCTTCCATTTTGCTAGATGTTCACCTACAAACTTAAACAAAATTACAATGAAATTCAATATGCTGCCCTTCTTCACATCGAACTAACAATTCTATTTAAATCAATGCACGCCTGCTTCATTAAGAGTAATCCTAAACTAACCTGAATTAATGCATGAGAAAATATGTCGTTCAGCAACAATAAAAGTTACTAAAGAAACCATTCTTATGCAGCGACTTCTTCTAGAACCGTTTTCTGCTGAAAATACAAACTTGCATCCTTCTCAGTTTGGCACCAAATTACTCAATACACAGCAAGCTTCCATGTACCGTTGTGCCGCGTCATTTGTATCTTACCCTTAAATGAAATTTCTCAAAATCATGTAGCAATTCGTTAAATTGGTAAACTCACCTACTAACAAGTTCATTTAATTATTCGGTGGCATCACAAAATAAAATAAATTGAAAATATACCGGTATATTTTTACAACATACAAAATGTACAGTTCAAGTCCTTCCATTGACTACAAAATGTGCGTGTAGAAGACCCACGCCTACTGGCTCATGCTATGAAGTGTCCCGATAGATGGTAGCAGTTCACCTAGTTTATAACGTTGAAATACAATTCACAACCTTATACAAATCATCATGGAATACATCGGTTTATGGTGATAGACGTACTTTATAAAGCTGCCTCAGAGATGGCAGCGTACATACACTTGCGTACTCCAAAATTGTATATTCAAAGATATAAAAGGTGTATTTCGTTTTGCAGACAATATGCACAAGAAGAAAGTAGATCGCCACATATTGAACCTTATAGCAGATATTACATTTCGCTAATTGTGCTCACATTTTCCTGGAAAAGCAGTACCTGTTTTAATGATGAATTCATGTCTTGTTAGCAGTACTCAAGACTGACAGAAATTTTGTTTCAATTTGCCCAAAGATATAGTTTCTAGGTGCGTTGTCGAATTGGAATACAAGGAATGAAATGAGCTAGGTGCCGTTTTATGCAGTATTGACGTAAAATTTATGCTTCAGCATGCAGTTTATATTGACGCGGTTACAAATTATAATGATTTTAAGTTAGTGACATTGACAAAATATTGAATCATAATAACATAACTTTGAACAAAATTCCTTTATGGATAATTGACACACAAGATTCTACTGCAAAGAATCTGTTCAGAGGTTCAAAGAACTTACGCCTATGACCCCTATAACTGTGAAGATTGCTATCTTCTGGGATGTGATGCAGTGTACTCCGGAAAATATTAAACGACGTTTCAGAGGAACTTGCTGCCACCTTAGGGAATCTAACCTGAAGACTGAAGGGTACAGATTTCTCCAATATATTGGTACCAACCAGAATACACTGCATCATATCTCAGAAGAATATCTTCAAGTTCAGACCTAGGCACTAGGAGCACATTTTGTACAGTTGCGTATGAAACTGGGTATATAGGATGCTGTATAAGAAATAAAATATGCAACATGTTCCAGAAAATTTCCAGTAACACTATTTTAATTGTCATGAACATGTGATAATGGAAATTATGCTCAGCCCTATCTAATACATTAATTTCGGTTTGATAAGTTATCATGTCTTTCATGCAGAGCTTAATGAAGAATTTTCAAGTTCAGTTCTCAGTTTTGGTGATTAAAGCAATTCTAAATTGAAAGTATCTCAGATTTTGAGTCATGCCATAAAACAATATCCAATATATAATCTTCATGTATGACTCAGATTTTGTTCACTTCAGTTTAAACCAAGGATCAAATATCAATCAATCAATCAAATATAAATAAGTCAGCTTAAGGCAATTTATGACTAGGACAACTAATATGTTACATTGCTATTCTGTTTTAGAATCACATTAAGCAGAATTTTAATAAAATGTTAATTGTTGAAATACATATTTACAGAATGAAGACATTGGTTTGAATCCTTTTCTTAGCACACTTTCATCCTTTAATGAATGGAAGTAGGCTTATGAGCCACTATGCTATCTGGATTCACCCTCCACCCCACCACACCCTTTAAACTTTTGAACCAGTTGACTGTTGGAGACTACTGACTACTGTTGTCTGGGATGTGATGCCATGTAGTCTGGTATATGTTTATCAGTGTTTGAGAGGAATGTTCTGTCTCCATCTTAAGGATAAACATGTACCAAACTGCACACCGTCACACCACAAATGGCAGTAACCATAGTCACAGCTATGAAAACCTCAAAGTTAACCAAGATTTATTCAATTTGTTACAAATGTTATGACATCCTCATTTTTGCAGCCATTAAGAACAACATGACAGAGGCATGAATTTGTGGTGTAAGAAAAATACAGGGACCTCAAATGACATATAGACTATCAAAGAATATGCATCATTTTTGGAGAATGTAAAACAATTTGGCAGCTGCACACAGAGGCCACCACGACTCTTTCCAAGGACAGCCAGAAAAATTAATCATAAACTTATGTTGAAGGCATGACTAATTTTACTGAGAAAGTCATTATGTATTTTGTATTCTAGACAGAAGAACAAAATATTTTTAATTTTTGTATTACTATTTGGTTCATCTCTTTCTATCTTTTTCCAGCTTAAAATGTAGAATGGCAGTGTCAGGCTTGCCCCTAGTTAACTATTATGTCAGTGTGAAATGTAGCTCCGTAATTCATTATTTCATGTCAAGGGACCCTCCAAGTATTAACCCTATTGCTGCATTATTCGACTGAAGTCAAACAACCATCAATTGCCATATAAGCAACATTAAGGTTATTACACATCAAGAAATAGTCATCTCATTTTGTTATATCATTCAACTTCATTCATTGGACAACGAAAACTCATTTTTGTTGCTTTTTATTTCATATCTTGCCTTAAAACTGCACCATTTACTGAAAATGGTAAGAAAATAATACACGGCACCAGGTTTAGCTATGCAAAAAGAATCATTAGTACCAGGGCTACAAATATGCTAGAGCATGTTTTAAATGTACAGGAGTGGAATGTACTGCTATAATTTATTTCAGTGTTGTTATCCTGTGTTTCCCCACATATATTGTCTTCCTTATGTCATGAACTGATATACTAATATGTAGTGCTTGAGTGGCAGAGCATTTCTGGAACTTGGGCCTTGTATGATGTAAACTTGCATAACTTTCTACATTCAAGATGTACAACATATACCAGGCATGTCCAACTTCAAACAGGTTGTGATCGACTTTTTAGTGTCAAAACTGCCAGTGATCTACCACACCCTCCTCGTCGTACCTCACTTTAAGCAAAAATGTTGGTAAAAATAACACAACACATTATGTTTGCTGTAAAAGCAACATACATTGAAAGTACAGACTTACCTTGTTCGTTAAGAACAGAAAACTAGGAATGACCAATATGTATTTTCCCATCAAAATCTGAATATAATCATATTATATTACAAGTGAATTTACATGCTTTTCACGTATAATTTCCTTATAGACCTATGAGATTGACCAAAACTCGTCCTGTGACCGACGCATTGGACGTGCTTGACATATACCATCTGTTCACCAGATGTGTGAAAGAATGTCTTTATGTGGTATACACATCAAACACTACCGTCTTCATTGTAGTGTGAAACATGAACATATTCCAAACTTGGGAGAAACTTAACTTCCTCCAATATGTTCAGACTGTCTGATATATTTCTGGAAACTTCCTGCATGCATGTCACAAGTAAAGCTGTTTGAATTTTAATGTTTGGACTGAAACCTTACATTAATAATATTACACATGTATGTATGTTTTATGCTATACAAATATGAGAAATGCAAGGCCATAGATGACATGATAATTAAGTAAGATTTTTTAATTGTTGGCATTTTTCAGATGTAATCATTTTAAAACTGTGACTTACAATGACAGTGTAAATATAAATTACATTAAAGAATACCACCAAAATGACAGATGGTTGTATCACAATTAGCTACTGAACTGCATTTTTATTAAATAATACATATTCCATTAGCCTGATTACAGATTGTACCTATACATAACTGTTGACAGTTGAATCAGTTCTTCAAATAATTATGAAAGATGGCAATGTTATTTGTGAGCAATTTAGAAAATATAATTATAACCCTGATTAATCTACAGTTAATACTTGTTTAACATTTTTATTGTCAGGAACACAGAACCCGTGTCAAGATCTGATGAGAAATTAAAGAAAGAAATTCTTAAGACCATGAGATCTAAGGACTCAGTGGCAGGATTAAGTGGGGCTGAAATCTGATCTGCAAAGGCTGGATTAGCGGACCATATACTTGGGGTCGTCAACAGATGGTTTCATAAACTAGATCATCTCTTCACTGTGGCTGTACACTGTTCTCCTGATACCATAGTTATAATCATCTGCCTCTTCCATCAAACAGTATTATTGATAAGATGTCAAAAAGACACCATCCAATCCTTACTAAGTGATCAATACAACAAAGTATTCAATAAGCTTCTGAAGTTATACCATAATGATAAGGTTATCTCATACTCCAGTAAGTCAGCAATTTTTGCATTCGGGCCTAGTTCATCTCTCACAACCATCCTACAAATCTGTTTTCAAAATAAGAAATTTACAGTATAATAGTGCATTCTTCAGTAGTACAGCTGTTTACTGACACACCTTGAGTCACCCAAACCATCCTTCATGATACAATATTCAGAAAAAGAAATTCAAATTACACTAAAGCAAAGTTTTAGATGCTGCATGGCTTTGGTTACATATGTCAACTTGTAATGGAAATAACAAACGCACTGCTAATATTGTATGAATCCTTATAACTACCATCATTTTAAGACCACAAGAAGTATTATACAGGATGAGCAGCTTCGTTGTTTTCAGTGTATAAAATCTCTTATAGCCAGACATACTAAATCCTGCAAGACTTCTGGGTCATGATATGACAATTCCAGTGGCAACAATTTCCAAGGAAATTAATTTCTCTATGCACAGTTTCCATTTCAATGGATTGGCTCAAGTGGAGCAATGCCTAATCTCCGTGTTCACCACACCTAACTGTAATTGATTCCACTTAAACTTACATAGAAATATGAATGAAGTAAAGAACACCATTACTAAAGCCATCCCCACATGTTGTATCATGTGTCATAAGATGAGATGCCCACCAGCCACACAGAAATATTGTTTTCACAACCAACACATAGTGGTACGTAGCAATACCATGTAACTGACAAAGTACAGTGACTTTACATGTTTACATGTTTTGAAAATTATAAACCATGCTATCTTACAGATTATACATAAACACATGTTGATGGCAGATGAAATAATATGCACACTATGAAAAAATATTATTGTAGTATATAAAACCAACTTCTACTTTGAAAAGTCTGACATAAATTAAGTTTCTGTGAAACACAACTTGGCTTAATTACATACACAATATTAAAAAATGCAACCCTTTTTTTTTGTAATGTTCTGATCAATCTTAAAATTTTGAATGGTTCCCGAGAATCATCCAGTAATTGCAATGTGGGTCTAAATCTTTGTGCCTCTTCAATATACTGGAAGAGTCAACATATATGGCAGCAGTATAAGCTTTCAGGAATGTAGAATCAGAGTTACAAGAATATTAACTGAAAGACCAGTGAT